GGCTGGGCCGGGGACAGGGGCGGGGGCGGCGCCGGCCAGGCTCGCTCGTGCGGGGCTCGCGCTGCGCCGCCGCCGCGGCCGCCGCGGTGACAGCTCCAGGGATGCTCCGCTCGGCACCGCTCACAACAATACAGTCTGACGTCACGGGGAATGGCGACGCGGCCGCACACTCGCCGCGCTCACACTCGCCGCGCTCACACTCGCCCTCTCGCGCGCGCACACCCGCGCACACTCGCCGCGCGCCCCCCACTCCAGCCACGCCCTGAAACCCACGCCAGACCCCTTTCCTTCCAACCCAGCCCCCCAAATCCACGGGGCGCTACCCGCTGGGCGCAGGCCGTGTTCCCGGGGCCCGCTAGGGCCGAAAACCGCGGACGCTGTGGCCTTTGGAACTTGTGTACGAGTCCGCTCCGCAACTCGATGCTTCTGTCCTGTGCGCTCACACTCACACACACTCTCTCTCTCTCTCTCACACACACACACACACTCAAACTCACTCCGCACTACTTCCCTCTGCTGGACTCCTTTAACCCTTTTCTGCTTGGCTGGGTGGATTCCCAGAGCCTTGCTGAAAGGGTACAAAACCAGCCTCTTACAGAACTAATACTGAACGTGCAACTTGACACAACATTGAGCCACCTACATCATCTTAAACATCTTAAACAATGCAAGACCAAAGAGTTGTGGCCGTGGCGTAGATCAGTGCCATGCTGTGCCTTAGCACTATTTTTAAATACCGTACGGTCATCATTCCATAGCGTAAAACGTGATGCATCTGTAAATAACTGCACAGCTAGCACTTGCGTGTTTTGAAAATTATTTATAATTGCCGGGCTTGGAATGCATGAAAAGTGGGATTGTAAACCTTGTTAGCGAACTACAAAATGACATGTTAAGACTTGAAAGTTTATTGTAACCTTTCCACCTTCTTAGATCGCTGGTAAATTGTTTAGGTCAAGAAAGTTATTGTTAAGCAAAGAAAGAAGTGGCTTTATGACCCACACATTATGTGTGTATTTGAGTATCTAAAAAACAAAAAGGACACTCATACTGGATTATTTATGTAAGGTTATTTCCTAAATGTAATAATAATGGTATGTAAATAGTACTTGGAGTTTTTTCATATACATTATCTCATTTGACCCTTTCAAAACAAGACACTCAAACATAGATTTTTATGTCTACTGCTCAAATGAGGAAATGAAACTTAAAAACATTACATTTCATGCAAGATCCCTTGCCAAATCAGTTTTAGGAACAGAACCCAAGTCAGTAAAGTGTGTGTGTGTGTGTTCATTTCTAACTAGAAATGAACATCTACATCTAAAGAAAAGACATATGCCTAAGAATGAGAACAATACTAGTAAGGTGATTCCGTTGAGAATAGTGTCAAATGACTAAAGTAATAAAAATGTTTGATTTCCTAAAATTAAGCAGAGGCAGTTCACAATCCTAAAGAGCTGATTATATTAATTCTTTAAAAATATTTACTTTATTAATTCAATATAATAAAAAACTATGCATCAGTTTAAGGAAATATCTAAAAATTATCTCCAGTTTCCTACTTTCTTTTTTTAAATAGATTTAGAGAACACGCTGAAGTTATCCCTAGGGGAAAAAATTTACCCATGCAATTTGCATAACTCTATCCAGGTGTATTATATTTTTACTTTACATTTCAAATATATTAAATTTGAATCACGTTCACATCTGCTTTTATTTTCAACAATTCTCTTTATAACTAAAGCAATTGATATAGTTCAAAGTATTCTCATTCTAATGTTTTCTCTTCTATTCAGAAATACCTATTTTTAAGCAATCAGACCACAACATATAATTTGTTATTTTCTGTGAAATAGTGCTTAATAAGAAGTTTTAGAGCCAGCTAAAGGAAAACATACTTATTCAGTTGCTTTGCAGTAACTTATTATTCTTTAATAAACAATTCTGGTTATTACAGAAGAGAAAATATATCATCCCACTTAAGTGGGTATAAATTGTACATTAAAAACAAAAAAACTTAAAACTAAGTGCAGTTATTTGTGCACTGGTTCTTTGACAGTGAGCCAAGTATAAATAATCAATATTATGAAGACTCTTAGATTCTACCTCTACTTTTGGATATCTGAGTATAAATAGACTGTAATTGGTAAGTTCTTAAAGACTTGTGTTTTATGCCAAAATAACGTATTTCATAGAGCGCCAGAACTGAGATGGGCCACCCACTGCAGAGAAGCTGTTGCCACGGTTATATTCTTTCCTTCTACATTCACCTATGTACGTTCAGCCATACTTTTCCTTATGACTCAGTCTCTCAATAAATGCAGTGGAAGGAAGGAATATATGAATCAATGTTAGTTCTTTTGTAGTTTGGCAAGTGATACAAGTATCTTTTTAACAGAGGCAGAAAAGAATGAATGTCACAAGCGTACAAGTAAAATTACGTGAAAACTAATAAAAAAAAAAACCTCCCTACTGTGGAGATTAAAGAAGACTTTAGGGGCACCTGGGTGGCTCAGTTGGTTAAGCGACTGCCTTCAGCTCAGGTCATGATCCAGGAGTCCCTGGATCGAGTCCCGCATCGGGCTCCCTGCTCGGCAGAGAGTCTGCTTCTCCCTCTGACCCTCCCCCCTCTCATGTGCTCTCTCTCTCTCTCTCTCATTCTCTCTGTCTCAAATAAATTTAAAAAATAAATAAATAAATAAATAAATAAATAAATAAATAAATAAATAAATAGAAAGAACACTTTAAGAAAGAGGTGTCCTTTAAAATGAGATTTGAAGGATGGGAAGGATTTGAACGTTCAAATTTGTAAGAATGGAGAGACGCTTTTCAAATAGAGTGCAGTACAAGTCAGGACAATTTAGAATGAGAAAAATACTCAAATGGATAGATGACATCTACCAAGTGCTGTTGGCATTCATTTAAATTTCATATGAGATCACATGTATTTCAAGAATCCTTCCTTTAAATGAGGAGGAATAACTCAAAGAGCAGAGGTTCCAGTTAGAACTGCTCTACACATTCTCCCTTTTCATAGATGCCCATCCAATTAGACAGAATAGGGATAACTCCAATGTTCATTTGGCATGTAACAGCACCTTCTCTGCCTTACCCTGCTTTCTTTATTGCCATTCCTGCTTTTAGGTTCAAAATTCGACAATTCAAACTTCTGTTGCACATGTGTGCCTTCGTCAATTCCAGCAGACCTTTTCTTTTCATCTCCAGGAATATTATTTCATTTTATTTTATGAGATGTTTAACAATTGATAAACACTCAATACAAACCAAACCCAAACAGTAATGAATATCAATTTATATAAGACAAAATAGAGGTGATGGTGTGATGGACAAGGGTTAACGTTTGTATGAGGCTCCAATACTACGAGAAGAGAGCCTTAAAAATTTGGGGACAGAAGTGTCATGACTGGTCTCTTAGGAAATACAAGGATTCACCATGAATCTTCATCAAAGTGTTGACCAAATATGTGCAAGTTTAGGTGTTACAGTCAGGAATGAGGGACAGGAAATGCTTTCCTGCCAACCCACACACTCATGGCATGTGGAAGTCTAGAATTAATGGAAATCTCTTCCACCCTTCCCCCACACATGCCTGCCAGCAGGCAGAACACAGACCAGAAGGTGGGGTAGGAAGGAATAATAAAAGTTGAGAGAAGAGAAGGAGGCAAAGGTTGCCAGGGGGATGGAAGAGGTCTTCAGTGGTCTTGATGACCATGTAATGTGAGTTTTATTTCTGAAATATCTTTATTCTGTATAAGCTGAGAATCTGAATTCTACAGATAAGAACATTTAATAATCTTATTTTTCCTAAACATCTTTTGTCAATGTCCAATTAGGATCTCACTTGTCTGGAAATTCCACGAAGGGAGTCATCTTGTCTGCTTTGTCCCCCACCCAATTCACTGAATTTCCAGCACGAAGCAAATTACTTGTCATGATGTAGGCCTCAATAAATATTTGCTGAATAAAAATAAATGATTGGAAATTTAGTAAATTGATATCTTTTATTGTAAATACAAGTCCAATCAAGATCTATTTCTTTTTCTCATTATAGCAAAATGTTTTCTTTTTCTATCCCTCTCCTGTATTTCACTGTACAGTTCAGGAGTAATACAAACTGAGGTGAAATAAAGCCAAATATCAGCATTATTAATTATGTATAGTAAGATATTACTGAGTGGAGCTCCTAAGGGCTAATGAATTATGACCTTGTCTCTCTTATTCTAATCCTATGTATGCTATATAATGCACTTTTCAAGTCTCTCAATATATTCATTTTAAAGTCAGTTTATACTATGAATATAAACATTATCCTCATTCCAGGAACATACAGAAGTGTTTTAATACTATTATCTGAGACTAATTTTATCAAAATTCGTGACAATTCTTCCACTAGGAAATGAGTGGATTAACTGTGATTATTTTGGTTTTTAGTCAAAATCTACAATAGTTTAATATGTTGAGATTTTAGTACACTGTAATTATAGATAGGTGTAGCTAAAAAGAAAAAAAAACAATTGTGAATTTTCTTCAAAACTTCTCTGTAGCTGATTTTATTTGCATTGTCAATGCATATAATTTTCTTTTTTAGTTATCAGAGCTACTTTGACAGTCATTTTAATTTTTTGGTCAATCTGTATTATTACTACATTTCAGTGCACTAATTAAAAAATAAAAATTTCTACATTATATCTGGATACTTAGGCATTCTTAAATCTGAGGAGAAGTAGAATAAAGTGGCCAAAATATTTTCATAGTTTTCCTCTTTTTTTTTCTGCTTTATCTACTTCCTTT